GCTAGTACCTTGTTAAAGGCTTTCTGTGTCATGGTTTTTAAGCAATTCTCCAAGCCTGTTAAAATTATTAGAAGTGACCAAGGCAGTGAATTTCACATGGCTGATTTCTATACTGAGCATGGGATTGTTCACCAACAGTCCTGTGTTGAAACACCTGAGCAAAATGCTCGTGTTGAACGCAAACATCAGCATATACTGAATGTTGCCAGGTCACTTCGATTCCAATCAGGCCTTCCTCTTACCTTTTGGAGTGATTGCATCCTCCATGCTGTTTTTCTTATCAACAGACTTCCTACCCATGTCTTGGAAAATAAAACACCCTATGAATGCTTGTATGGCAAACCACCTAGCCTTGCTGGTTTGAAGGTTTTTGGTTGTCTCTCTTATGCTGCCACCTTGCACAGAGACAGGACCAAGTTTGACAGTAGGGCTAGGCAGTGCATCTTTCTTGGTTTTCCTACAGGGGTTAAAGGCTACAAACTCTATGATATCAACAATCATTCTTTCTTTATCTCTCGTGATGTTACTTTCTATGAAACTATCTTCCCATTTGCTGTTAATCAGTCTTCCACTTCTTCTTCTTCTACTTCTCCCACAGTTGCAGATCCAATCTATCCTGCACTTCCTCTTCTTTCCCCCACTTTACCCTCTTCTTCTCATTCATCTCCTTCTTCTTCTCAGCCTGCACCCCCTTCAGATAATCCTTTGTCTACTTCCACTCCTTCTTCCTCTTCTTCTGCACTGCCTACTGCCTCAGATGGGTCTCCCTCTTCAGGTGAAACTACTGGTGTGCAGTCTGTGGGGGAGGAAGCTGAGATTGAGGTCTTCCCTGATCCAGTTGACTCAGATGAGGCTGAGTATGTCAGGAAGTCAAGTCGAGTTAAAACTGTTCCTATATGGCATAAGGACTATCATGTTAACATTGCAGCCTCCTGTACCAAACAGCATGTATGGCATTACTATACCTTTGAGCAACTCACACCTGCTCAACAGAAGGTTGCTATGAGTATTATGGTAAATGAGGAACCTACCTCATATGCTGAAGCCTGTAAAGATCCAAGGTGGAAGGAGGCTTGCAAAGAAGAATTAGCAGCACTGGAAGAGAATCAAACATGGGAAGTTGTTGAGCTTCCTAAGGGAAAGAGAACTGTGGGAACTAAGTGGGTGTTTAAGATTAAGTACAAAGCAGATGGCACCATTGAGAGATTCAAAGCAAGGTTAGTAGCCAAAGGCTACACACAAATTTATGGAATAGATTTCCTTGATACATATTCCCCTGTGGCAAAGATAAATTATGTCAAGACTCTTCTAGCAGTAGCAGCCTCCAAGGACTGGCACATACATCAGATGGATGTATCTAATGCATTCTTACATGGGGACTTGGATGAGGAAGTCTACCTTGAAATCCCACCTGGAGTTGACATCCCAAAAGGTTCAGGTTTGGTTTATAAACTCAAGAAATCTTTATATGGGCTTAAGCAAGCTAGTAGACAGTGGTTTGCTAAGTTAACTAGTGCTCTGATGAAAAATGGCTATTCACAAACTGCTTCAGATTATTCCATGTTTGTTAGATGGATCCAGGGAAGAGTTGTGGTTGTTTTAGTCTATGTGGATGATATTTTGATTGCTGGAAGTTACCTTGGTGATATTGAACAATTGAAAAAGTTCCTCAGTAAAGAATTCAAGGTAAAGGATCTGGGTCAGATGAACTACTTCCTTGGTCTAGAAGTTGTAAGAGATCACAAAGGAATCTCAGTTAGTCAGAGGAAATATTGCTTGGAACTACTCACTGAGACTGGTTTCCTTGAAGCAAAGGGCTGTTTATCTCCAGTAGACTGTAATGTGAAGTTGACAGCAGATCAAGGAGAGCCATTACCTGATCCAAGTGTTTATAGAAGGCTAATTGGTAGACTTCATTACTTGACCATTACTAGGCCTGATATAACGTATGCTATTCAGCAATTGGCACAGTTCCAAACAGCACCAAGTATTATTCATCTACAGGCAGCACACAGGGTTATCAGATATTTGAAACACACTCCTGGACAAGGCTTGTTGTTTAAGGCAGATTCCAAGTTGGAGCTTTCTGGTTTCTGTGATGCTGACTGGGCAAGTTGCCCTGACTCTAGGAGATCTTTGACAGGTTACTGCACATTCCTGGGTTCATCGTTGATTACATGGAAAACAAAGAAACAGACAACTGTCTCAAGGTCCTCGTCTGAAGCGGAATACAGAGCACTAGCTCAAGTAGTTTGTGAAGTACAGTGGCTGAGAAATTTGCTGCTGGAGATGGGGATTAAGGTTCCCTTACCAATTACTTTGTTTTGTGACAACAGGTCAGCTTTGCATATAGCTGAAAACCCAGTTTTCCATGAGAGAACCAAGCATATCGAGATTGACTGTCATGTCACTCGAGAGAGGCTCAAATCAGGTTTGATTAAGCTCAATCATGTAAGAACTGATGATCAACTTGCAGATTTATTCACTAAAGGAATGACTCGATATCGACTGAGTTTTCTTCTTGACAAGCTGGGAGTCTTCAATTAGGGATGGCAATGGGTCGGGTCGGGGGCGGATAGTGCATATCCGTTACCCTACCCAATATAGTTCGGGTTTTACCCATACCCGTACCCACACGAGAAACGGGTAGAAAATCAAAACCATGCCCATACCCGTTCGGGTTTCGGGTATCCACGGTTATCCATGGGTAATAATTTCTCCTTATAATTCCAACCAATATGTTAACATTCACACGTATACTCACATTACGTAAGAGGAAAAGTACGACAATAATTCACTAGAATGACGAAAATTAATTAAAGCAACATAATTTCATGAAAATATTATATTTATATGCTAAATATAAAATATTCTAGAGAAACGTAATGATTTTTCTAGACAAAATACATATGCATGTGTATAATCGGGCGGGTTCGGGTTGGATAGTGAGATAACCATGCCCACCCATTACCCGCAATATTCGGGTTCGGGTTTTACCCGTACCACCGAAAAATGCTTCGGGTTCGGGTTTTACCCTACCCGATTAGGTCGGATTCGGGTGGATATCCACGGTTACGGATATTTTTGCCATCCCTATCTTCAATGCTTACTCGCCAGCTTGTGGGGGAGTATTGAACAAGGAAGATGAAGATGATTGAAGCTGCTACAGGATTCCCAGAAGACTGAAGCAGCTGTTGGTTTTACAGAGATCAAGAGGCAGAAACGTTTCGTTTCTGCCTCCCCTTCCATCTAACGAAGGCTAAGACTGAAGCGACGTCGTGGAGGCTTACTTACCGTTAGGTGGAACAAAGAGAGGCCAATCAACAGAAGACACATGGCGCCTTTTATTTACTGCATTTGTATTTCTGTTTTAACAGACATTTCAGTTTTTACTGTACTGCAACTTTACTCTTTTGGACCTAGTATAAATAGAGAGATGAGATGGAGCTGAGCTCCTTGCGGGTTCCATTTTCTATACCGCCATTATACCTTCTTCTTCTTAAACCCTAAGCTCTCTGAGCTTTTCTACATCTCCCCCCAATTTCAGTCTCTGTATTCCCCTCTTCACTGCCGCTTCAGAGAGCTTGCAAGTCTCGCCGGTAGTTTATGAGGCTTTTATTTTGTACGTTTGTGTGGGTAATTAGGTTAGCTAGGCAAGTGTTCTCGGCATTTATCCAAGAGACGGCAAGCAGAGGGCGGGGCTTGTCTTCCTCCTCTGCATCTGGCCTGGCTGCTTCTTCAAAGGGCGGAGCACAGGGACGATTTTTCATCAGGTGCCGACCACCATCTCAAATCGGATTCCTCTCGCACAACCACCATCGCACAGACCCTAGTCCATCTACCGTCGCAGACTCCTATTCCAATTCCCTCTCATCTCCTCATCGCCGCCGTGGCCGCCAATGACACTTTCTACCGTCGAGAGAAGAGGAAGAGGGAGAAAGGTTGCAGAGAGAAGAAATTATTTTTATAAATATTAATTATTTTTTAATTAAAAATCTGATGTGGCATCAACGTGTTTGCCACGTTGGCCCCAATCTGACGGCATATTCAAAACCTTCTGGTCAACCGTTATATCTAACGGTCAACAAAATCTTCAGAATACAAATGTCACAAAGTATCGTAGTTTACAGTGCAGTCAAAATCGCGCATTAAAACGTAAAAACGTTTACGTATCCAGGCCATCAAAACGTTTCAGTTTCTACCTAAAGCCTCTTAGTCACAAAAACTAGTACAACATGGGTAAAATCGATAAAAACTCTTAAAATTGGTAAAATCGCGATTCTGAAGCGTTTTTATACGATTATGATCATCTCATAAAAATGTGCTAATTGGCCCAAAATGATGTAATTTTGGAGACATATCAGCAAAAAAATAACAAAAAAAAGGAAAACATGATTCATCACTCGTTCTACAACTAGTGTCGAAACATGGGCTTCACATTAGGTTGAAAAGACACCTAATGTTATTCTCAACAGCCATGGACCTTCTATCAGTCTTCTCCCTTAATCTTCACCTGTGGCTCTTACCTGGGTTACCATGAAAGTTTATGGGTAATTGATCGTATGTAATTATGTAAACTCAAACTAGCTTATGAGAATTTGGATTCTCAGGCTTGTTTACGGGTTACGATCTACGTTTATGAGCTTATTATTAAGATGCCATGAGTTTTCTCTACTTTTGAGTCAACGCTAATTAGTTTATGTGTTATATATTACATTTTAATTATGAATTTCATGTAGTTATCCACTTATCTAAAATCTACACACTCACATTTTACATACTATATGTTGTACTTAACATATTTTAAGCTATTTTAGAGGATGCATAAAAAACTTACGATTTTACGCTTTGATTTTACGTTTTACGATTTTACTCATTTTCCGCTTCTAGGTAGAATCACGCTTTTAACTACATTAGTAGTTTAGGACACAAATGAAATATTGAAAAGAATAGGACACAAATGGCATTTTAGTCATAGTTCGGGTGTTGTAATGATATTAGCCCTTTTAGTTTTTACACTTTCGTCCTACATCCCTCGTTCGAATCTCCGCCATCTCGACCGCTCTGCTCTCTCTTCTTTACTATAGTAGTATAGTCCGATTGGTAAAAGAAGCCGAAAATAGAAGCAGCTAAAGGGAGATTGTGCTGCTGCAGCTGTTATGTTTCTCTGATAACTTTTCTCCTTCCGACTCCAATCGTTCTCCCATACTCACTTTCACTCTCTAGAGGCGGCCGGAGCGCTGGTAAGGCATAGGTTGTATGTGAGATAACACCGATTTATCCAAGAGAGAGTCTTGAGATTGAAGCGCGATTGGTGGGAGAGGGAGCCCTGGGAACACGATTGACTTTGGATCTGTTGCTGGTAACTTACTCCGTTGCTCTACATTTGCTCTGATCTTGTGTATCCGTCTTTTCTTTGTTTGTTTCTTGGCTTTCAAATTCGAAGCTTGCTGTTGTCGTGTTGCTCGTTGTCTGGTTGTCCCTTACGCCGACATGTATCACATTGTTGAATGACGCCTTGCTTCTTATTGTTGATTCAAGCAGTGGTTGATTCGGTATTGCTGTTGCTGGAGATTGCTTAAATAATGTATTAGTTATGGATTGGAGGAAATTTATATTGGAGCATTGTTTGACTGTGGCATGGTTTAAGTGACAGGTTGAACTGTTTGTGCTGTGCTGATATGCTTTCCGAGTAAGGTCGGATTTATGATTGCGGTTCCCATTGGAACGCAGTCACAGAGATGCCATAGAGTTTCATTTCATTTAGCTGTAGATTGAGAATCTGCTGTGAAATTTTTTAGGTTTCTTGATTTAAGTTCGTGATTCTCCGTGTACTAGCTTGAGAGTTGTGTCACTGTGGGTAACAAGGCATGGTTGGTTCAGTTGTCTGGCAGCTAATAATACTCGTATCAGGATTTAGGTCTTGGTAATACCTGGGAGCTCCATATGCACAGCAATCTATTCAAACAGATGGTAATTTAGGACTGTAGGTTTTTTGAATGTCTGTGGATGGATCTGTACCCTTTCACAATTTTCCAACTATGGGTAACTAGGCATGGTGTTCAAATGTCTGGCTTATAATAAAACTTGTAATAGGATGTAGTGCTTGGTAAGACTTGGGAGGAGTTAGGAGTTGGGCAAGAGACAGCATGGTTAAGAAAATATTCTTGCTATTGTTTCGCATGATTGAGCTTAATAAATAACTGTGGTACTTCTGTTTCAGCTGTCTTGGTTTTGGTTCTGCCCTTTTCCAATATTTTTTGTTCTTCAATTATTCACCTTTCTATTTTTATAGGGTTTCACTATTCAAATGGTGTCTGGTTCTGTCACAGTGGAAATGGAGAGGTTTGTTGTAAGGCGTAAAGTTGTCCCACAGCTATTGCCATGTTAAAAAAAAAATTTTATGGGCTGAGGAGTGGAGTCGAAATGGTTTTACATCCCAAATATTTAGAAAGATGGAGGAGTCTCGAGATGAAGCGGGGCCAGCAGAGCAGGGGCCTTCTAATGCAGCATGGTGGGGCTCAGATTTTATTGAGAAGTTTGACTCTGTTTCGTTGCATTCTCAAGAAGATACTCTGAGTAATAAAGAATCACCTAGAAATTATGAAGAAGATGACTTGTCTTCTCAAACTGCATCACAAGTTCTCTGGAGAACTGGAATGCTTTCAGAACCAATTCCAAATGGCTTCTACTCTGTCACACCGGTGAGACTCTTTCCTTAGAACAATTTTACTGGTGATATCATGTTGCAGTCTGACTGTGCTGCTAGAAATAAAGAATACGATTTCCATATGAACACTCTTCGTGATTTTGGAAGGTCATCTCTTGTGTTGATTCTCATCTGACTTATATCATAGAAAGAAAGCCTTATTCATGAAATGCCTGGGAACACAGATTTAACAATTCAATTTCTTGATTTTGCTTTCCTTGTCAATCTTAACCAAGTATGTGCTCAATCCTTAATATGAAAAAGGGCAAGCTTAAAAATTTGTCCCTTTATTTTAGTGGCATGTTTATGGTTCTTTTTACGGGTAGTGAAGAGGTTCCTTAACTAAGAGGTAATAGCTATGTCGTTTTTTTAAGCATACTGGAAGTGTATGGGCTAGGGATAGTTTTTTGTGTAATTATGAATGTATATAACATCTTGTGCCTAGCTCATATCAGTGAAGCTCTATGGATGATAATTCAGTTTTACTCTCCTTGCCTTGATCCAGAGAAAAGGGGAAAAAGTCTTCGTAGGCAGTTGGCAATCATGCACATTTGTAATTTAGAACTGTCATGTTTTCCTTTTGATCAATTTGAGAGTTGGGTAGTTATTTTTTCGCGAAGTTGTTTTTTTGGATTGGAGGTACTCAGCTTGAAAGTATGATACTGGCTGATGTTGCTTACGTTCCCTGTTTTGACCTTTTGTTGATTACTGTTTAGGAGATGGTTCCGGACATTATTCATAAATAAATGATTTATGCTAATGAAATTTCATGTCTCGTTGACCAGTAGTGTAAGAAAAAATTTCTCTGCCCTTTCAAAATGACCAGATAAACTGTTAGTAGTTAGAACTTTTTTCTTAGTGGTTCTTATTGGCGGTCTCAACTTTTGACAGGATAAAAGACTCAAAGAGCATTTTGAGTGCCTTCCAACCCTGGATGAACTCCATGCTCTTGGAAATGAGGCTCTCACTGCTGATGTGATTGTTGTGGATTTTAGGAAAGATAAAAAGCTGTCAATGCTGAAGCAGTTGATTGTTGCGCTGGTGAGAGGATTGAGTGCGAATCCAGCTTCCATGATAAAAAAGATTGTTGGGTTGGTAAGATCATACATCTTACAAACAGCTTTGTACTGCCTGAATTTCTTGATAAGCCTTATGCTAAAATATGTCTAATTCTCTTTTTCCTTTTGATATATGAGTGTCTTTCTTTCCTTCTGTTTGAGGCGTTTCTAAATGTCATCATATTGTGATGAACCTGGGGATCTCAATTTTGGCTATGATCTAGTGTTCCAGATTTGCTCACTAAATCTACTAAATCACCGGGAAGCACATTCTTTAAACTCGAAATGCACTGACATGTAAACACCGGGCTAATTGATTTCTGTTGTAAACTTGTGGAACTTTTTCCTGCATATGTTGTATTTCCTTTATATATTTTTGATTTGTTAGTAACCCTTGTTTCTACTACTGATTTGTCCCTCAGGTATCTGATTTTTACAAAAGACCTAGTGTTGATAGCCCTGTGAGAACATCTGTAGAGGAAAATTATCACTTGCTTGAAAACCGAGGAGTTCAATTGCTTGGGCAAATAAAACACGGTTCGTGCCGTCCTCGAGCAATCTTGTTCAAAGTTCTGGCAGATACTGTGGGTCTTGAAAATAGGCTTGTCTTGGTAAGCTTTTGAGTTCATTTTATGTGTCTTCTCCTTTCCAGATGCGTCCCAGAGCTGTAATACTGGTTATTTTTATGAACTACTTCTAATAACTCCCAATCATAGCTCATAATAATTATTAAACTTCAATGTTTTTTCCAGGGTTTACCAAATGACGGATCTGTCGAGTGTGTAGACTCATATAAGCACATGTCAGTCATTGTTGTGTTGAACTCGGTGGAACTACTGGTAGATCTTATGCGATTTCCTGGCCAGTTGATCCCACGGTCTACCAGAGCAATTTTCATGACTCATATCTCAGCAGCTGGGGAGAGTGATTCTGCTGAAAATGATTCTTGCGATTCACCACTTGAACCAAACAGTCCTCTTTGTGGTTTCCCAGAGAAAGTGGATCCTGACAGGCTAGCATTCTTGACTTCCAGTTTAACCTTGAAACATGACATTCACAACCTATATATGAATCGGTCATCAAAGTTGGTTAAGTAGTTTTGATTTTTGTTTCATTGTTGCAGTGCTGAAAAAGATGACGGTCATCAGTTCCATAGGAAATTAGAGGGATCTTCAAATGCATCAGGCCCTGTATTGCGGAAAAAGATGTTGCGATCTAGCTCATACCTGGATACAAAACTTAGGCAAGCATTTTCTTCTTCTCCTTATTTTTCTCCGCTGCATAGATGAACTTCATATTGGATGCTTTCTGTCTTTTTTCCTTTATCTTTTTCTTTTGATAAGAACTCTTGCTATGTGTTTGTTATTGCCTGCCAAACACAAATATTTCAAGTTTTTGTGATTGAACTGTATCCTCTGTCATTTTTTCTCCCCATTTTGCCTCAATTTATCACATAGTGAACCCAATGTCGCTACAGCATTTTGGCGGCGTAGCCGGAAAAAGGTGATAGCTGAACAGCGGACTGCTAGTTCAAGGTTTCTTTTCTTTTGACCCTTATGTCTGCTGTCAACGTTTTTGAAAGTGAATTGATGTTTTTGATCGGTTTGACTGAAAGTCAATGTCAATTTGATTTAGACATGACAGACTTGCTTCTTATAGTACATTTCATTTTTTGGTTTTCTTGGAAAATAATGTGTTTTCCATCATAGTTAGCATGAATGATACTCTTATCATCCTGTGATTTCCAGCTAAAATATTATCACTATTTATATTCTGTCATTTTTCAAATGCCATTCTTAGCTTGCAGCTTACTTCCCACATTGCTTGATTTTTGTGCATTTCATGCTGTTTTTTCTTCTTCTTCTTTCATTTATCGTTTCTACATTTATAGTAGGAGACGTAGGAGTAGGAGTTGTCTGCTAGAGCTAGTTGGAGAAGTATGTTTGACTGAAGTAGGTGTGAAGTAATCGTTGACTATTTGTATTTGAACGTTATAAAAATAAGTCACTATTTGTAAATTATTAATTGATCCCCTATTGTTTGACCTTTTTAGTGTAAATGAAAGTTCAAATTAAAATAAGTGAATTACTAATTGATCCCCTATTGTTTGACCATTTGAGTGCAACTGAAAGTTCAAATATGTGTGCAACTGAAAGTTCACAGAGGTTTCAGAATTTTTCAGAGAAGAAATGTGTAAAATTTAAATTGTAGAAACTTTTGTTTTAAGTTAATAAGATGAAAGCGAATTTAGGTCCACATCAATTTAAACTAGGAATTTATAAAAAGATGTAGGAGGATGTGTTTCGCTGTAGAGTTGGATTTTGGATATAAACCATGTAAAACAAAGAGGAGCCTTTGGTAAGGCTATGCAGATCTGGTAATTTTTGTATTATCTTTTCTTCAGCGAGGGTTATTCAAACTATCTTGTTGTCACTTAATCACTTTGTGTGAGTTATAGTTTATTTCTGTAGTAAAACATGGACATCGATTCTCGATGCAAATATTAAATCTTTATGACTTTGATCAAGCATCATTTTGCAGTCCAGAGCATCCTTCATTACGGGTACGCGGAAGGTCTATGCTAAGTGGTGATAGGCATTCAATTAGAGATTATCCTGAGGATGTAGCTACCTCAAGGTTTGTTCTCTTTGTTCTTATAATGAATACATGAGCACTATTTTTTGACTCTAGTTTCCTGGGTTGGTTTTGAAAGATGCTATTACAACTTCTTGATGCTTGCTAGTGCTGTTTTGTTCAGTAGCATTTCTACTGCATTTCTATTTTGTTCATAGTAATTTGAGAATCCAAGAGATGGAAATTAACGAGATTCCCCAAATTTATAACCATTTCAAATTGCATGTACGGATTATTTGATGAACAATAGTTGAATATTTTGATCTATTTGGCTAAAGTAATTTGATGTTCAGTGTCAAACTTTGAACTTTAAAATCATTTAAATCAAATAAACCTATATATCAATTTTGCTCTTCAGCTCTTGATAGATTGACTATTAAAAAAATTTATGAAGGCTCTTGTAAATTTCTTTTGTAGCTTAATTGAGAATTGAAACTTCAAGAGATACATAGAAGGTTAATAAATTTTTTTTTGGCAAGGGGGTGCTTTAAGCACCATGATTATGAATAGGACATTTAGCAGGTTAGCCCTATTCGTTAATTAGGTGTGCATTAGTCTTGTAAGGTCTATGCTTCTCATTTTTAGAAGGAAACTCAGTACTCCTGTGTTTTACCTGAGACTTCTTTGCTGGTTTCTATCTTTGGTCATTAGATACTGAGATAGATATGTGATGACTGATAAGAAAGTAGTATCAAGCATTGCAATTTGAAACAAAATAACTTATTGGACTTGCAACTCAAATATCACAAGGTGTCAGATCTCATTTTCTTGGAGCTTCTACTGGAAATTGCTAGATATGTAAGGATGATTGTGTTGTCCTCCCTTAATCGTTCTAATTTTCATCAATGGCATTAGCTACAAGTCAGAAGGAGCATCAACATCATTGGAGACTCGTAGATTAAGAAGACGACGCATTAGCATGACCCCAGAGATTGGTGATGATATTGTGAGGTTTGTATACTTTCCGTCATTGTTTTGGTTTACATTTGTGTTCGAGTTTGATTAAGAAGACGAAGCATTGGCATGTCCTTATTTTCTCTTTTTCCGAAAGGAAAAAAAAACTCTTATTCACATTGGCATGCTCTTTTGCATATCTTCAGTATAAAAGTAATGTAGACCTACATGATGACCACTAATTAGCGGCTTTCAGATACATACATCTAGATGGGCTTATACAATTTTAAGTTCACTGAGAAATTACGATCAGTTCATGGCTTGGATTAATTAAGAGCAGAAAAAATATGTTGGGTTGGTCGTTGACAGATGGATTGGTGCAAACTTTAACTCTTAAGGCTGACGATGCTCTAAGGAGCAATGCATGGATATGAATTTAGGGTAGAGGGACAACTTATTTCACATTTCAAACAAGTGCATCTCAAGTATTCTTGAGCTGAAGCATTGAACTTATTTTTCCAAAACCTCTGTGGATTTGAATAACATTAAAATATGTAATTTTCTCATTCGACAATCTGCCTAATTCACGTATACTGTGAATATTTTCAGGGCTGTGCGGGCCATGAATGAAACTTTGAAGCAGAACCGTCTAATGCGGGAGCGAGGTGATGGTACATCCTCTACAGTTAATTCAGACGAGAAGGATAACAGCTCAGATCTTCAGAAAATGTATGGTTGTTATGACCATTGGAGACTTGTCTTCCTGTTATTGTATTCTGTTCATAATTTTACGTGTTTTTACTTCACTTTCTTAGGCATAATTCTCTGTCCACTTTCTTTTGCCACGATATCCATCTTATTTCAGCCCTTGACATGACATTGTGTGGATGTTTTATTCTTTTTCTTTCTTCACGATTTGCTCAGTTTAGGTTTCAAATTGAAACAAAAACTTACTGTTAGAAAGAAGTCTGTTGAGATGAAGAATTTGTCATCCGGAAATGGGTGCCCAAATTTTGCTGGAAGATGGTAATGGGTCTCTACGATGATTAACATCCTAGCTAAGAATTGACAAAAGAAACAAATCCTAGCTTGGAATTTATTTCCACCACATCCCTTAGTGGTATTGGAAGGCTTGATGACATTGTTATTTGATCTTCATGGTTGGTTCAAACATAGGTGCAGTAGTACACTAAAACTTAATTTGGTGAAGCAGAATGTCAAGAGATAAGAGAGATTTTACACAGGGAATCCAGCGTTCAAATGTTGCTGAAAGTGGCCACAAGATGTTCTGATTGAGTAATAAATAAACAGGGTTTTGTTTATATAGGAAGTAGTCAGCTGGTTGTTAAGCTTTTGTGCGAGAGTAGAGTCAAATTTCAGCAAGCTTGGCATATTCTTCACCTAGTTTGGCTGTTCTTGTTTTTGGATCTACATTGGGATTATATGCTTGAACAGTGAAAGCCTTTTCTTTTAGTATTGACCAGATGTGTGTAAGCTTTGTGCTGTAACTGCTCTTTATGATGGTTTGGCTTCATTTATCATAATCGGTTACCTTATGCTCTGTTTCAGCTATCAAATTTGATCCTGGTGGTCGCAATGATATATTTAACAGAAGGCCTAGCTTATGTGCTCTTCAGGTGGACTAAAAAATTTCTCAGAAAGCAATGTCACTACCATCTTCTCCGCATGGATATAGTAGCCAAACAGTGGAGAGAGTTAAACCTTCAGGCTACTCCGCGAAAGATGAATTGGTCACTACGTGGAATAAAGTCCTTGAGTCACCCATGTTCCAGAATAAGCCTCTGTTACCTTATGATGAATGGAATATTGATTTCTCAGAGATAACTGTTGGAACTCGTGTCGGGATTGGTAAGCATTTGAATACCATGTTTAAGCTTGGTCTTCATGTAATTTTGTTGTTCTCATGTCAGATTCTATAATGCTGCACTATCCTGTTACAATCGTGGTTGCAATCAATGAATTGGTTTGGGTTTGAGATGCCACTATAAATTCACACTTGTTATATGGAGAAAATGTGCGTTGGTGTTGGGAACATCAGACTCCTTTTATTTGAGATAAACGGTTAATTATGCCTATTTATTGGAAGCTGACATGGAGGGGGGATAGTGATATTGCTGTGGTAATGAGTTGACTTGTTTGTTATGTAAATGCTTTGGAATCAGCTCATCTTATATATTGCAGCTTTTTTGTTTATTGAGTTGATGTCATATATGCAAATGTACTGCATGTGAAATATTAACTTGAATTTTCGTGAACAATCTCTATGCTAGGGTTTTTTGGTGAAGTTTTCCGAGGCGTATGGAATGGGACAGATGTTGCTATCAAAGTTTTCTTAGAGAAAGATCTAACAGCTGAAAACATGGAAGACTTTTGCAATGAAATATCCATTCTTAGGTATTTTCCTGTTGATCTGCCAATCCTTTTGTTTTCAAGTTAAGGCTGCCAATATATTTCACTAATTTAATTGTCTTTTGTTGTCCCTGCATCGATTATCTTCCAGTCGCCTTCGCCATCCTAATGGTATTCCTCTGTACCCATTACTTCTGATATAAAGTCCTTTGGTAGCTCTTAGGGAGGCAAAGAGTATACGATAGTACGAATCAACAGATATACATGTCAAAACTGCATTTTCTGATGGTGCTTTCATTGGAAAGTCTTATCCATCTTTCATTTGTAGGCACTCACATTCAAACGTTGTAGAGGATTTTGCTGATATCCTTCTCTGATTTATGTTTACTGCACATTCATTAGTCAACAAATGTTGTACTGTTCTTGCAGTTATATTGTTTTTAGGTGCTTGCACAAAGCCTCCCCGATTGTCAATGCTCACCGAGTACATGGAAATGGGATCCTTGTATTACCTAATTCATTTAAGTGGTCAGAAGAAGAAGCTTAGTTGGCGGAGGCGGCTTAAAATGATGTGTGATATTTGCAGGTTTGTCATCTCATTATTCAGTTGCTCTTTTGCTAAGCTGCCTTTTCAGCCAATTCCTATTATCATCGAAAGCACTTCAATTCTGCATCTTGTTCTATCATACATCTGTTTGTGGGTTTTTGATTGATGACTCATGGATATGGAAATGGAAAACCATAGTTTCTGCTTGCCTCACCATCACTTGAACTTCTGTCTTACACATATGCTTAAAACTGCTGCTGTACTTATTTCTATATATCCAGGATTGGGAGGCTTAGATGTGTGATTGATCTGGTTAACTTTGGCCCTGCTTTGTTAACCTTCTAATTTGTAACTTATGGCTTATAGTTGATTGTATGAACTGTTACACAAGCACAGAACGTCAATAATCGTGGGAGTATAAGGCCTTTTGATAGGATGTGTTCAATCTGTGACCGTTCCTATTTTTCCATTGGCTGTGTGGATTGTGTTGTACAATGTTAGATCTAATATTAGTTTTAGGAGAAGCAGAATGTAGATTGTTTCATAAGGTTTTATTTAACTAGGGTCGACGAGGTGGAAATGGCATAATGGATTAGGTTAGGAGAAACAAATTTCATGGTTTGAGGACTGTATTTCGGTAAGTTTTATGATCTAACAGACACGATGAAATGATCAGAGCTTCATTTCCATTTGCGGAAACATGTCAGTAAATACCTACACATTATATTGTTTTAACATAAAAACCTATACAGATGTTTCAACAGGATTAGTATGTCACGAGGAGAATAAAGAGGCTAAGCAATTGGCCGTGAGTGAAATTCTACCCAGTCAGCTGCCTAACACTTATAAATAGCAACTCCGAGAGGTTCCTAAGTCGGTTACATTCGCGTTACTCTTTATTGATTCTGAGCTTACTTGGAAAGCTGAAAACCACTAGGTTCAACCTTTTGTGTTACAACTCGTAATGGAGATTTGGCAAATTCAACTGGAAGAGGAAAACAAAGAGGCTGTTGTGTCAACAATATTTAAAAGATAAACAATAACGGTACCAACGTTTTTGTGCTTCAGAGTTATATGTTGTCAATTGACCTGCAGTTTCACTTATCTTATCCTTCAACTAAATGTTGGCTTCTAAATGCCAAGACCCCAATATAAGTTACTTTAAGCGGTCTCTGTTTTTGGGTTTTTTGACGAAAGCTGTTTTATCCAGTCACAGTGGCGACAATCTGCATATGAACTTACATTTGTTTCTATTTTGAAGTGAAATGCTGAAGCTATTTGTTCACTTCAAAAAATTCTGATACTAATGCCTATTATTGTGGTCATTATTTATCAAATCGGAATTCGCAATTGGCTTCCTTTGAGTCTCCCATCACCTATGTTCTATATCACTGCAAGACTTTCTGCTGGTTGACAATCTTTTTTGCCTCACAAAAGTGAAGGAGAATGATTCCTATATCTGAATGACTTGTCCATCATCGTAGCTTCGTATCCAGAGATGCGCACTCATGAGCTCATATGTTTTTGTCATTGATACAGGGGTTTGATGTGTATACATCGGATGAAGATAGTTCATCGCGATCTCAAGAGCACAAATTGTCTCGTGAACAAGCATTGGACTGTTAAGATCTACGATTTCGGGCTCTCAAGAATCATGGTGACCAAGCCGGTAACAGACTCATCGTCAGCAGGAGCTCCTGAATGGATGGCTCCTTAACTCATCCGCGGTGAATCTTTCACTGAGAAATATGACATTTTCAGCCTAGGAGTCATAATGTGGGAACTCTGCACTCTCAATAGACCGTGGGAAGGAATACCACCTGAAAGAGTATGTGCTATTCGCCCTCCACAGGACCAATTTTTTTTTGTCCTTTTTTTTATTTATTCCGGGGAGGGTTGATTGGTCCATACTCTGTCTATAGGAGAAAAAGTAGGATGCTGGTGTCTGATTTGGCTATCTGTTCTTTTTGGCTCTCAGGTTGTTTATGCTGTTGCTAATGAAGGATCCAGATTGGAGATTTCGGAGGGTCCGCTGGGAAGGCTAATTTCAGGTATAACTAAATCCGTAAAATTGAAGTTTGGAAAAATTCAGTTGAAAACAAAGTTGAAATAACTACTCCATTTATGTCTGGATTGCAGACTGCTGGGCTGAAGCGCATGAGCGACCGAGCTGTGAGGAAATCCTGTCTCGGTTGCTTGATTGCGAGTATTCCCTTTGCTGATGATACCCATCAATAGGAAAAGGCACACTCCTTTTTATTGTGTACAGGTGAAGAAAACCGAAAAAGAAAGCAGGGCAAAGTTTAACATGGTAGAGTGTGGATATTGTTCTCCCTCGGCAGCTCAAGATTGTAAACGTTTTCGTTCTTTGTTTTCCGAAGCACTTCCATTCCATGTCGTCCCAGAATGAAGTATTCCAATTTTGCATGTTATGCAGTAGAAATTACAACGCTGAATCGGCTCTCATTCATTTCTCCCTATCTTCGTCAAACACAAAATGAGAAAGTTTGCTCTTATTCTTGATACAATGTACCCAACTGAATATTACTAACAAGGCAGCTGAGCATCCCCAGAAATGTCACAGCACAAAAGTTCACTCTGATGGAATCCAATTGGAACAACTTTTACTGCAGAGAACAAGTGAATTGGTGATGGGTTCAGTTCTAGAGTGTTCAAATGGTTATCGTGGTAATAACCAAATCAATTAAGCCTAAATTTCATTAACCATGGAAGGGTTAATTGCACGGCTGGTCACTGAGATAACAAAAAGCATTCATGTTTGGTCACTCGAAATATTTAAATCCATTTGTGGTCCCTAATTTTACAAAAAACCATTCATTTATGGTCACTCTCCGTTAGCTGTCGTCCAACGTCGTTAACGGTGTCCATTAAGTGATGACGTGGCTGACGGATTCGCTAATAAGCACTTTTTAACCCGAAAATTGACTGACCCGACCCGCCACGTCATTTAAACCCGCCATGTCAGCTAAACCTAACCAAACCTCTAACCAAACCAGACCCGACCTGACCCAACCCAACCCACCAACCCATCTATCTTATTTATGTCGCTTTCTGACCACAAGAATCCTATCATCTTCCCGTAACCTTCACATCTCTATTTTCTTCTCATCCCCTTCTCCTCTGCTAATGGCGACACCTTTCTGTCATTGTGGATTGGCATCAGATCTCAAGACGAGCTGGACAGAGGCGAATCCAGGGAGGAGGTTCTACGGGTGCAGCAAGTCCCCTTTTGAATCCAATTCCCTCCTCTGTTTCAACTCTTCCCCTGTTTTCCCCCCTTTTCATTAAGCTTCTTCCATCACCAGCCATGGAAGCTCTCCAAGGTCACAACAATTACAATCACACATTCCCCACCGATTTGACCGAAATCGGGACCTCCCTCTCCCATCTCATACTAATGGGTGGCGCGGGCTCCAACACTCTCGATTCCGTCTTCTCCTTCTGCAGCTACAACACATCACCACCGGCGGCGGCCAAAACAGAGCCTCTCGATTCCTCCGTCTACCTCCACCAACGAGACCTCCTCCGAAAATTCAGCGAGCATAACAGACCCACCACTGATTCATCCTTCGGCTCAACTAATTACTCGCTCCAGAGATTCTCTCCATTGCAGAGGAGCTGCCCGACGTTCGCTCCTGCGAAGGCAAAGAAGCTGTACAGAGGAGTGAGGTAGAGGCACTGGGGGAAATGGGTAGCAGAGATTCGGCTCCCGCTGAACAGGATGCGAGTCTGGCTCGGCACGTACGAGACCCCTGAAGCCGCCGCCTACGCTTACGATCGCGCCACCTACAAGCTCAGAGTTGGAGAGGAAGAAAAACGGGAGGGAGGAAGGCGGCGCGGGATGGAGGCGGATTGATTTGTCTTCAATTAGCGTTTTAGTCAAAGGTGGGTAGATTAGTTGGTGGGTCGAGTCAGGTCTGTTTTAGTTAGTGGGTCTGGTTTGGTTAGAGGTTTGGTTAGGTTTAGCTGACATGGAGGGTTTAAATGACGTGGCGGGTCGGGTGAGTCAATTTTCGGGTTAAAAAGTGCTGATTAGGCGAATCCGTCAGCCACGTCATCACTTAACGGACGACGTTAACGGCGTTGGACGGCAGCTAACGGAGAGTGACCATAAATGAACGGTTTTTGTAAAGTTAGGGACCACAAATGGATTTAAATATTTCGAGTGACCAAACATGAATGCTTTTTGTAATCTCAGTGACCAACCATGCAATTAACCCAACCATGGAATAAAATGTCTTAATCAAACCGTCCAAATTAACACGAAAACCAAATTAACCAAACCAAAGTTTAATTAGTTTGGTTAATTGGATAATCGAATTAACCAAATAACATAACATAACATTACTTGAAAACAATTATCATGTTAATGAATAAAATATAACCATATGTTGTTACTATCATAAACTATCATTATATATAAGCAATAATAATAAGACTAACCATCCATGATTATCATAATCATTCGAGTTAATACATCATTCATCATCTCTGCACCTAATATAGTTAGCTTACAACAAACTCTTAACGTAAATATTAAATACATACCAATACCACTCATCAGGAAGTTAAAGCTCTCCTACAAAACACTTAAACTATACATAGTTTGATGTGACTGTCATGGTATTGTACGTATTCGTAAAGTCTAGTAGTTGTCCAAAATATTTTGTTTTAGTAAATAGGCAGACCCATTTAATTTTTGACCCATAATGCTTTGGTTTGTTGTGCACATGGAAATAAAATAGAGATCCACGAAAGTTTGGTTTGGTTGGTTGCTTGGAAGTATAAATAATTTTGTATATTAAGTGTATCATTAATTGGTTAATTGGTTTCATTGGTTAGAAGTGTTGAAACCAAACCAAATCACCTAAACCAAATAAGCTAAATTGTTTAACCAAACTAAACCAAACCAATTATCCAAATTAACCAAACAAAATTAACCAAATACTACTGGTTAATATGATTACCACGATAACCAATCCGTTTCAACACCCAAACAGTTCACTTCACTATGATCACCAGTACATTTCACAATCAGTCAGGGATTATGTGTCTTCCATTCGGCGCATCCTCAAACCGACTGCAGGAATCCACTCTCATCTCGGCACTCATCTCATTTTCTGGCGCCGGATAATAGTCTTCCCTCAGCTGCACATCCACTCATTTCATTTTCGGTCTCTCTCTGTAGTCTCCTTCAACCTTTATTCTAATCTCCTCCAATTTAGGACAATCCTCAAGACCAGCCCTAGGCAATGGCGTCAAGAGCTCGCCAATAGCAATCCATAAAGGAATGTACTTGAGCCTCTCCCATGTTCTTCTGTTGCTGCGGAACCCATTCCCAATAAACTAGATAAGCCCACTTGAAATAATTAACAAAATGTAACTCGTAAGACATCACTACAAAACCAGCAAGAAAAATCACAAAATATTGTGGGAGAACTCCATTGCAATTTTCACTAGTTGGCCAACGATGTTATAGTTCAGAGGAGAACGATCTACCTACTATTGATAAAGAACCTGTTCAATTGGAGGTTCACAACTATTAATTAGAAATTTATGAAATTTTTACATCGAAATATAAAAGAACAAAGAGATAACTGATTATGTGTATTTTTCAACCCGAGAAACAAAAGGATGAACTTAGAATTAACTTAGTACTCTAATTTGGGATGAAAAATAGAAAAAATAAAGAATATGAGGAAAAATCAACCGAAGAAGAGAGGAAAAAAGTTGCAACAACATAACATATGGTCCATCATTTTTAGTGCCACTTTCGTCCTCTTCAATCGGGTGAGAGATTTTCCCGTTGACTTTCTATTTGAATCCGAGCGAGAGACATGTATAACGATGCAAATCAAATACAAACAATATGCCAATTTCGTCCTCTTCAATCAGGTGAGAGATTTCCCCGTTGCCTTTCTATTCGAACCCAACGAGAGACATGTTTAATGATGCAAAACCAAATACGAACAAAGATGATAGTTCCAACATTGAGATTCCTATGAACGGAGATCTTGACATCGACAAGCTTCTTTTGCAGCAAACAACCCATCATCCTCAAACCCTCACTGTAATGTTGTTGCAACCCTCAACCTCAAATTTCAAAAGCTTGGTGCAACCTCTGTCAAATCAGCCGAATTCTTGATCGACAACGATTGCAACCCTTAGCACTAGGCAATCCCATCGAGTTGCGAGTCAATCGCCAGACAAACTCCATCGAAATGCCCTACATTGAACACTTTCAATTTTGGGCATTTCAATTTCAGAGTTTGCAGAGCTATGGAGATGCTCCTAATATTTTTTGCAAACTTCTAGAACCAGCTCCTCTAAAGGGAAGCCCCACCAAGAAATCCGTCAACCCCACCACAGTCACCAGCGTGTCCTCCGCCGTGTAACTGTCACAAACAAGACTAGAATGTATAGAATAAGGATTGATTGGGTAAATAGCCAAAATTATGTGTGGTTTAAAAGTGCTAGCTGACAAGTGTAGAGAGGCTTACATAAAGGATCGTGTGGAGTCCGTTAGAGGCAGTAATGAAAAAACATAACAAACTTTCCCTCCCAATTCTTTCTTAATCTCTCTCTCTCTCTCTCTCTCTCTCTCTCTATATATATATATATATATATATATATCTCTCTCCCTATGCTCCTTCTCTATTCTTTATTTCTTTCCTTCTTATTTAGTGAGCTAGACAAGGTAGTGACAAAGTGGTGTCAGAGTCCTACTCGACATGAAAACTAACACGAGAATAAAAACAATGGAGGAGCGCCTCAATGGTGTTACGAGTCTCACATCGGCCTTGGAGGATCGTTTGGCAGCATTCAACGTGCAACTCTTTGAGCTCAGCTGCCTGACGATGCGGGCATACTGTCATTCATAGCATCTCGCTCGATCATTACTTAGTCGAGTTTTATGGAAGCTCGTTTGGATGGGTTTGTGGATAAATTCGGGCTATTGCACAACTATTCATCAAGTTGATGATGGAATTGCATCAAGGATTGTAGGCGGCAGTGTCGGAGCTCTGTCTCCAAGTGGCGGGATGCATTGCAGAATGCAACATCCTTCCTTTGCCGCTAGGACGTGTCGAGATTCTCGAAGCTAATCATCCAATTCAACCCCGCATGCCAGAAGTTTGTGTGGAAGAAGAGGAAATTCTTCTCGCTCAATGAGGTAACTTTCAATGCCAGCAACCTCCGTTGGATTTTCCTTCTTTCAAGGATGAGAATCCATGAGAATGGACATGGAAGTACGAAAAACTCCTCCATTTGTATCAAATTGAGGATCCCTAGAAGGTTGAGGTAGCAGCAGTTTATATGGATCGTAGCAAAGGTATATGGTTCAATGGTTGGTGTGTAGGAAGATGTGAAAAGGTGTGGTAAGAATTTGTTGCAAGTCTCTGTGGGAGATTTGGGATTTCACCATGGGTGGGTTGATTGGGGAGTTCAATAAGCTCCGACAGAGAGGCACTTTGGTGGAGTATCAAGAGAAAGTTGATGAACTCCATTCTTTTATAATTTCATACAACCTTGCCCTAACTGAAGATTACTTTATATCAAGTTCATTAGTGGATTAGAGGGAGAATTGAGGCCAGTAGTCACTATGATGCAACCTCAGACTATAAACCATGTGTTTCAATTGACTCGATTGGAGGAAGCTTCGAATGAAGCTAGTATGAAGAAGATGAGACAACAATCACAACTATTTACCATCAGTTCTGGTGGTTTACTCCTCCACTGAAACGAGGTGATGCTCTTAAACCCTCCAAACCTTATTCCGGTCCTTCTACCAGTAAGGGAATTATGACTAAGGGGGCTTGCTACAAACGTGGTGATAAGTACTCTTATGGCCATGAGTGTGAGGCTGCTAAGAAACACTTGAATGCACTTCAGGCCGATGATGATGATATAGTGGCTCCTGAGCCTTTTGAGTGACGAAGATGAGGATTTAGTGGAGTAGACAGGTATGTCACAGGAACTAAAGGAGCTGACTGTATAGGCTCTCAACAATGCTGGAGTGACTAACTCATTGATAGTCAAAGGAAAGGTTAGGAAGCACGTGTTGAAGATTTTGGTGGACATTGGAGCACTCACACGTTTTTGAATCAAGCGGGGGGGGGGGGGGGGGAGGAAATCAAGTACACAATAGTACCAGCTCTTCCTTTGAGGGTAAAATTAGCCGACAACACAGGATTTTGAATCGTGGGAGTCATGATATGGTATTGGAATTGGATTGACTAGGGATTATAAGTCTTGTGAAGTTTGATTTTGTCAATTTGCAGCTGTTTTTTGAGTTGGCAGGACAGAAAGTAGTATTGTATGGAGAGTAGGAGTTGGGAGGTTGTAAGGCTCTTTCAGGGAAGGGGTTACAGAAGATGTTCAAAAAGAAGATGCAAGGGTGGACTGTCCACTTACTCAGCATCACCGAAGTCAAGGCTCTAGGTGAGATACCTCATTTTCTGTTGCTTGTTACTAGGGGTTTACATGGTCGGGTGGTTCGGGTTTGGTCATTTTAATCACCCGACCCATACACTACGGTTTTGAAAAACCCAAATCCAAACCCATCCAAAAAATTTAGAACCCTACGGTTTGTTTATAGTTGGGTTGGGTCGGGTTGGAGATACTTTTAATTAAAAACCCAGCCCAACATAAAAATACAACTATTTTACACCACAAAATATTGTATAACTAATTAAAATCTTAAACAAATAAATCAAAGCGAAAAGTATCAAAATGCATAAATGGTGTTTGCATTTTAATGAAATACAAATTGCTTAAACATAAGTCTAGTTTTTCCCACAAACATTTGCTTAAACATAAGTTAACTTATTCATATATATTATTCTTCTAAAATCGTAC